ACATCCTGATAAATATACTTATTTTAATCATAATTTTCTGTCAAGAGGTACTTTAGCTTTGTTTCACAAATATTGACAACTATTGGTCAAGTTTAGAGACTGAACAACATTTGAACCAGTATTTTCCTTATTTTTCATTTTAAATATAGTAACACATTTTAAAGTTTCCAGATGTATGAGATTTTAAAAATTTTGTATTTTATTACAACATGCTGGAAGTATATGATCCTTGAGAATTTACTGAGACTTCTTACATGGCTGAATACTTGGTTGATTTTTGTAGCTGTTCCATGTGTGTTTATAAGAATGTGTTCTCTGTTGGGTATAAAGTTCCATATATAGCTAGTACTAAAGCATATTATCCATATGGTTCAAATTGTCAGTATCTCTGATTATTTTTATATCCTTGATTCTGGGAAAGGGATCCTAATTCTCTAAGGATAATTTTTTGTTCATCCATGTAACTTTGCAGTTCTGTCATTTTATTCTTTAGAGATTACTGGAGCATGTGCACTCATGACAGTCTTTGCTATCTTGTTCTTTTAAGCACTATAAAACAGTCTCTTTCTTGTGCTTTATAAAATGTTGCCTTAAATTCTCCATTTTCAGAAATTATGGTTACTAGTGCAATGATCTTTTGGTTCGTGTTTGCCTGATATGTCTTTTTATCCTTTTATTTTTTGCCTTTCTCCATCTTTGTCATTAAAGACAGTATATGGTTGTATTTTTAAAAAATCAAATTAGGGAGTTATCCAATTGGTGAATTTAACATATTTATCTTTATTGCAATTATTGTATTAGTATGTGATTGTCCTAACTTATTTCATGATTTCCAAATATTTTACTTTTCTTTTGATGGGGGTGTCTTCTTTCTTGGTTTCTATTAAGATAGATAGAATTTTTTTCTCCTGGTTTTAAAATTGTACGTTCTATTTTTATTCTTTTTTTTTTTTTTTTTTTTTTTTATTTGACAGACAGATCACAGGTAGGCAGAGAGAGAGAGGAGGAGGAGGCAGGCTCCCTGCTGAGCAGAGAGCCCGATGCGGGACTCGATCCCAGGACCCTGAGATCATGACCTGAGCCGAAGGCAGAGGCTTTAACCACTGAGCCACCCAGGCGCCCCTCTATTTTTATTCTTATGTTGTTTGTTCTTTAACTAAGAACCATACTTTCTTTTACCTAATATTTATAGGAATATCTTGTCCCTTTGATTGTTGATCTCAGTCCCCAATTGTGCTGAGAATCTCTAAACTTTTAATTTTTGCATTGCTTTTTGTTTTCTTTTTGTTTCCTTTTACTTGGTTCTAGTTATTTTTAGATAACCACTAAACTTGACCAAGGTATTTGATACTTTGTAGGGTCCATGGTGTTATTTAAAGTTTATAGTATTGAATTAGACATGATGAAAAAACATGCAAGAACTGCGAGAGATCATTTTTTACCACAATATGAAATTTACTGGAGAGATCAACTGCTCACACACAATTAGTGCCACAGATAGTCCCAACACTTGAACTTACTGCAATAGCAACAGGAGGTAGCTACAAAATTATTATAGTAGTACAGTATGTAGTACAGTTAATTTTATGCAATTATTCATTTAACAATGCATTTTCATGTTTGTTTCTATTTCTCTTGAATGAGGATGGTATTATGTATGACCTATGGTACTCGTGTAATTTTTGATAAATTTAAACTTTTTGTAATAGATTTGTGAAAACTTATGATAGCAAATGATAAAATAGACTAGTTTCTATATATATGTATGTATTTATGACATACCTAACCTTTTCTTAATTTTTCTGATATCTGTAGGCTATGTGGTTCATCTATGAGTTTTTTCAAATTCTTGCAAATCTTCACAAGTTTTCTCAATATATTTACTGAAAAAAAAATCTGTGTGTAAGTGGACCCATCATACGGTTCCGAACCTGTGTCATTCAAGGGTCAACTGTACACACACACACATACATACACACACACACCCTTGAATGGTCTTGTTTCTCTGGAGAACCCTAATGCACTTTGCTTTTTTAAATTTTCATTTTATTTTAATTTTTAAAATTTTTAAAGATTTTTTTAAAGTAATCTCTACACCTAACATGGGACTCAAACTTACAACCCCAAGATCAAGAGTCTACTGACTGAGCCAGCCAGGTGCCCCTGCTTTTTTTTTTTTTTTTTTTTTTTAATAGTTTATATCCTATTGTCCTTTTATCCTGCCTTCTTAAAGAGTTTTCAGTCTGATATTTCTTTTTCTTTTAAGATTTTATTTATTTATTTGACACAGAGAGAGATCACAAGTAGGCAGAGGGAGAGAGGGGGAAGCAGGCTCCCCGCTGAGCAGAGAACCTGATGCGGGGCTTTATCCCAGGACCCCGAGATTAGGACCTGAGCCGAAAGCAGAGGCTTAACCCATTGAGCCACCCAGGCGCGCCTCAGTTTGATACTTCAACTCACTCAAATTTGTTCCTCAAATTGAGATTTTATCCATCTTTTTATCTCATCTATTATGTTGCTCATTTCAGCTCATACATTTGTCATATCTAATATTTTCCTTGGTTGTTTTACTTTATAATTTCTTGATCAGTTAATGTCATCTCTTCTCTCCTGAGTACCTACAACTCTGAGTAAAGGTAAAGTTATAATTTTTACACGAAACTGAAAGTGATCAGAAAAAATAAAGCCTTGTCCTAAATTTCATTTAGTGACAGATGAAGAATTTATACAACAGAATACATTTTTGAAAGGATTTTATTTATTTATTTGAGAGAGAGAGAGAGAGAGAGAGTACATGAGCTGGGCTGGGGGTGGGGTGTGGGAAGGGCAAAGGATGTCCTGCTGAGGACATCATGGGGGGGGCGGGGGGGCTCCATCCCAGGACCCTGGGATCATGACCTGAGCAGAAGGCAGACACTTAAGTGACTGAGCCACCCAGGTGCACCCACCAACAGAATACTTTTAAAGGAACAACAGAGGACAGAAATAGAGTAGGTTAATGATACCACTATGTGAGTGTAATTATTCAATGCAAATTTTATACCTGTCAGAGTGGCAATTTGTACATGCAATTTACAATTTACTCTGTCAGCTTTGTAATATAATTCTTAACAAATTAAAAATATTCTTTTTGAGGGGCACCTGGGTGGCTCAGTGGGTTAAGCCTCTGCCTTTGGCTCAGGTCATGATCTCAGGGTCCTGGGATCGAGCCCCGCATTGGGCTCTCTGCTCAGTGGTGAGCCTGCTTCCCTCTCTCTCTGCCTGCCTCTCTGCCTACTTGTGATCTCTCTCTCTCTCTCTCTGTCAAATGAATAAAAATTAAAAAAAAATAAAAATATTCTTTTTGAATATCTATTTCAAAATGTATATTTAAAATAGATTAATATACCTTTTTCCTGCTATTATAGGTATCTGTAGTTTAAATATTTATAGTATTAGTGATTGGTAATTTTTGATAATTTGGCACATCTTCTTTTTCCCTATAGCAGATTTTATTTTATATACTCTAATAGGATTTTATACTTTTCTTCATGTAAGTCCTATAAGTCCTTCCTACAAGTCTTTCTTGTAAAATTTATCCCTAGGTCTTTTATAGATTTTCTGTTCATTGTTAATAACATATTTTCCCCATTTTTATTTGAAATGGTTATTACTAATATAAATAAAAACATTTGATATGTTTTGTTGTTTTTTTAAAGCTTTATTTATCTTGCACACATGCGCAAACTTGGGGGAGGGGCAGAGGGAGAGGGAGAAAGAGAATCTCAAGCCAACTCCCTTGAGTGCAGAGCCCAGTGCAGGGCCCTGAAATCAAGACCTGAGCTGAAATCAAGAGTCTGAGGCTTAACCAGGTGCCCCACATTTCATATGTATATATTTTTATTAATTACCTACCATTTTACTGAATTCACTTATTAATCCAATAGTTTTCTTAACTAGGGTTTTTTGAGTTTTCCAGACATGATTGCATATTATCGTTTTCTAGAAAATACTGTACTTCTATTAGATTTTCAACTTATTGCCACTGAGTTATAAAATATTCTTTTAGAATTATTTTCATACTTTCTATATCTATGAATTCTGCATATTTCTCCGTCCTAATGTTAAGTGTTTTTACTTTCTCTCTTTCCTCCTTTTAAAAAAATATTTTATTTATTTGAGAGAGAGAGCACACACAGCAGGGGGGCAGAGGGAGAGGGAGGACAGACTCCCTGCTGAACAGGGAGCCTGATGCTGGGATGGAGCCCCAGACCCTGAGATCATGACCTGAGCCAAAGGCAGACGCTTAACTGACTGAGCCACCCAGGCGCCCCCTTTATCTTTTTCTTCTTCTTGTCTCCAGGCTTACTTAGGGGCATGTATTTTATTTTTCCAAAGAATAAGTGGTTCTCTTTAAATATAAATTTTACTAGCTTTTGATCTATATATAGTGAAAATATACAGTATTTTAATGAAATTTGCATACCTTCTTTTTTTTGCTGGTAATAACTTCATAAAGTACAGATTATTAGAAAGAATATAATTAAAATCACCAATAATCCTACCACTATGAGATAACCAGTGTTAACTTATAGGCATAGTTTTTCTTAATCCTGCTTCTTCCATTTAGTTGTATCACTAGTATTTTCTCTTAGTAAATATTTTTGTAACTTGACTTTTAGGGAGGGTATAATCAATCATATGTAATTTAATTATATTTTTTTGGACATTTGCATTGTTTCTATTTTTCATGTTATAAATAATGTAAATATCTTTGTGTCTGAATCTTTAAATATTTGTTTCCTTATAATACATTGCTAGAAAAGTTGATACAATCTATGTTACCATCAGGTGTTTATAAAATTGTTAGCACTGAGCCATCAATTTTATTGCCATTTTTATTTTCCAGATTATTTTAATAATGCATATCTATGGTGAAAAAAATATTTTAAGTAAGCAAGTATTACTGTCTGCTGCTTATCAGCCTAGAGTAGATCTGGTATGCTAATGTGGAACACCACCTTAAAGCACAACTTCTTTATTTCAATACTGTTGATTTCTGCAAAGGAAAACTCTGGGACTAAGAATTTGTGGACAGACGAGCATGGCAAGATGTCCAGACAGCTAGAAAAAGATAATGAGCAACAAACATTATTGAATATTCAGCAGAATTTACAGATTGCTACAACTCAGAGACTAGAGGAGAAAATTCAGAAACTTCAGAAACAGCTCAGTGATTTGAAATTGTCGAACAAAAGTATGAAAATTCAACTTACAAGAGTAAATGTCCTTAAAGTAAGTAAAGTGATGCTTTCAAAAATTATCTTCAGCTTTGATTTGCTACTATTTCAGCTGCATGTTTCTTATGAATTTTTAAAAGATTAACATTAAAATTATTTTATATGCACACATAAGTATATATAATATGAAAGCATATTGGATAATAAAATTAGATGCATAGACATCTACCACTTATCTTAAAAACCAGGGTATTGTCAACCCCACCGAAACCCTCATCTATTCTTTTCCCTACTTCTCAAAGTTAACTGGTATTCTAAATGTTAGAATTCTAGAGTCCTTGCTCTTTCCATCTTATTTCGGTCTTTCTTATTGGGGTAATAGTTAAGTTTTATTCATTTTTGGAGACTCCTCTTTGGATCTTCTCCATATCAAGCTTCACTTGTAGTATTTCAAACATATGTTTTATGCCTTAAAACAAAGGTGCACTAAATACTTCCATAAGTGGGTTTTTTTGGCATTTTACCAGCAATGTTTATCTTAACTGCAAAGCAGTTATTTTCTCTATTTCTGATTTTGGTTAGCAGAGGCAGTACAACTTTTGAGGACATGAATACTCATTAAACTTCTTTAAATCCCAAGTGGCTAGTTTATAAAAGTGCTCAGTGACTGTTATTGATGAGTATGATGATTGAGACACGTCTTCTTAATCCATAAATTGTGGAATTTTCTTTCTTTTCCATATATCAGAGCCTTAAAAAAAGAAGAAAAGAAGCGTGGGTTATATCACACATCTTGTCTTTTACTTAAAAGAGATCTAATTAATCATATCCCTTTCCCCCAACCTTAAACCCTCACAGGACAAAACAATCAAAAAGCTCAGGCAATCTTTAACGCAAGTTGAAGCAATGAAAGGGAAAGCAGTTATGAAAACAGACAATTTGAAAACTACATTACACTCTGCCAAGCAAAAGGCAAGAGGGGACAAAGAGAAGGTCCATCAGCTGTTAGATGCTGTCACTTCTGAGCCCTGCACAGCAAAGAGCACTCTTGATAAAGTACCAGGACAACAACAAGAGGTTTGTTTTGTTCATTATTATATTAAGAGTCTTTAAAGTGATTAACACCGCTGTCACCTTAGACTCTATCTAATCCAGACAAAAAGGAGTTTGTTGGCTTATGGACTCAAAGGTGAGTTAAGCAACCAGACCTCAGCAAGAGCGGCACTTGGGCTGCAGGATTAGCACCTGGAACCTTTTAAAGCTTTTCTCACCATCTCTTCCGGGCTCTGTGTGTGTGTCAGCTTGCTTTATGTTTAGAGATTCTGGGACAGGGGAGAGAGTCACCAGAAAGGGTCTAAGAAAGCCCAGCTTAGGTCAAATGCCTATTCCTGGTGAATCCACAGTAGCAAGCGATGGCATAAATGATTATCTTCACTTAGGTTTGCATATACATCCTCTGATTGACCAATGGCGAGAGGAAAGAGATGTCCAAGAATGGAAGTTCAGGGGAAACCATGTGTCTGGGGCTGAGTCACCTTCTGGGAAAAGAGGGTAGTGCTTCTAAATTTGCCTAGATTCTCACAACATTTATAAAGCAGGTGTTGTAAGAGAATTTTTAAAAAGATTTATTTATTTTAGAAAGAAAGAGAGAGAATGAGTGGAAGGAACTGAGGCAGAGGCAGAGGAAGAGAGAACCTCAAGCAGACCCTGCTCTGAGCTTGGAGCCCTGTTTGGGACTCAAGATCACATCCCTGAGATCAGGACCTGAGCTGAAACCAAGAGTCAGATGATTTAACCGACTATGCCACCCAGCTGCCCCTTAAAAGAATTTTTAAAAGGCTAACTGATAATTTGGGGCTACTGTGGAATTATATGCTACATCTCTTATTAGTAGCTTAAGAAATATGTAGTTTAATCAATTACCTTAAAAGATTCTTGAAACATAAAATCATGATATTATTATTTTTGTTTTTTTTTCTCTTTTTAAATTTCTGCATATTTATATTCTTGTTTTTACTCTTCTCAATATCCTTTCTATATTTTCAGTCAGATCTCCTCTTCTTTGGCTACTCTGTAGTTCACTCTTCACTTCTGAGATGACTTTGTTTTATTCTTGCCTGAGTTCAACCACCACATCTCCCTCATCTGTAAGGCATATTGGATATCATTTTTTGGTCCATTTGTATTCTGAATTACAACATTTCTCATTCAAAATAGAGGCCTCCTCTCCCTGCCCCATGTCTGCAAATCCTTGTTTGAAATTTTTTTAAAAAAGATTTTATATATTTAGTTGTGAGACAGAGACAGTGTGCACATGCGGGTGGGATAGTAGGAGCAGAAGGAGAGGGACAAGCAGACTCCATGCTGAGCACCGACCCTGTGGAGGGGTTCAATCCCAGAAATCAAAATCAGATATTTAACCAACTGAGTCACCCAGGCACCCCTGAAATTTAATCCATATCAGGTATTGTGTCAAACATGTCTCTTTTGCTCCGTGGCAGTTTTTTGGGGAGAAGTATTTTCATCACCTGACTAGTTTGGATGATGCTATTTTCTATTTAAAGAAATTTGGACGGATATTATTTGCCTTTTATCTATTCATGTTAAAACCCTTTTAATTGGGGTGCCTGGGTGGCTCAGTTGGTTGATTGTCTGCCTTTGACTTGGGTCATGATCGTGGAGTCCTGGAACTGAGTCCTGGGATCGAGCCCTGTATGGTCTCCCTGCTCAGTGGGGAGTCTGCCTCTCACTCTCCCTCCTCCTGCTCCCTTTTTCCCTCAAATAATTAAGTAAAATCTATAAAAATAAAATAAAATACTTTTAATTGCCCTGACCTCTCAATTTCAGGTATTTCACTTTAGGGTAGTTACAGGGCAGGGTTTACTTGCTTGCTTTTTTTTGTTTTGTTTTGTTTTTTTAACTCAATACTACCCTCTTGTGTTGCCACAGTGAGTGCAGTTCTACAGTCTTCCGTCAAGCCCTATATATATATATATATATATATATATATATATATATAAATATATAGATATACTGATATATTTATATATAATATATATTTATATATGTATAAAATATATTTAATATATAAATATTAATATTAAATATATAAATTATAAAATTATAAATTTATAAAATTATAAAAATATAATATTAAATATAAAAATATATTATATATATTTTTTTATTTATTTATTTTTCCCGGCAAGCCTTTTATGTTGGGGTGAGAAGTCATATGATGCCTGCTTCTGCAGTACTCTTGTTTATAGAAGTCCCTGACTTTCCACTCTTTGCTTTTTTCTTTTCCTTTATCTCCTATCTTCCAAGGAACATCTCACCAAGTATCTCCCACTTCCCTCAGAAACCTTGTCCTTCAGAATTGCCATTTTGGGGAGTGCCTGTGTGGCTCAGTTGGTTAAGCGTCGGACTCTTGGTTTCCACTCCGGTCATGATGTCATGGTCACGGGCTGGAGTCCCACTTTGGGCTCTGTGTTGGGTGTGGAGTTGGCTTCAGATTCCCTCTCCCTCTGCCCCTTCACCCAGCTCCTTTGTGGGCACGAGCTCTCTCCCTAAAAATAAAGAAATAAAATCTTTAAAAAACAAAAAAAAGACTGCCATTTTTGGTCTCATGTGCTTCTAACCCCTTTTCTTTTCCTTCCCACTTGCCAGTTTTCTGACCCACCAGGTCTTAGACTTCTCAATATTTCCCCATTTCTGCGTGGTCCTATGTCCAGGACACCACTGGAAACCAGCTGCATCCTCCAGTGTGGGCTCAGGAGCTGCCTCTGCTGGTTTAGGATATTTATTTCCCCACTTATACACAAACTGAATTCTGTGATATTCTCTACTTATGCTTTAGATATGATTTGTGGGTGGTTATAACTGCTTTCCTTAGAAGATCACTATGGTTTTTGGAGGAGGAGTGGAGAGATATGCTTAGAGGACTACTATGACCATATAGCAAATCCAAAGTCCAAAAAGGAAATTCCTTAGGGATGAAAAACAAGCAACAGTAAAATTAAGTTTAGTCTATAAAGTGTAAAAATAAAATCTTAAAATGAAAAGGACATTTTAAATAAAGAGTTCTTGTAATATTTATAGCTTAAATATAATTTGAATGTAGAATGTTACATTTCATAAAGAAATGTTTAATAAAACTACATTTCTGATACCAATTTCATTGTACACAATAAGGTGGCCAAAACTAATGATATATCTTATGTTTTTGGTGGTTTTTCTGTAGCTTTCTGATTTTCGAGAAACTATTATGAAGATGTTGGGATTTAACATGAGAACAGCTGACAAGGAAATCATCAATCACCTAAGGCTTATTATACAAGATTATGAAGCATCTAACAAATCAAAGATTGCTTCTGATTGTGAGACTGGACAGGATAATGAATAAAAAAGTTCTTTCTTCATTGCTGCCAACAAGAGCACAGAAGATACAGATATCTCCTCCAGCATCTTGAATTGGCTACATAATGAATAAAATGCATTGGGAATTTTTCACTTGAAAAATTCTCTTCTTTGATATTTGGCAGTTAACTTTTCTTTGTCATTATCTTGTTCTATATGTTTATTTATGGTCTAGTCTATGTTGTTACTTATATATCTAATTATATTTATTATTAACTGTATTTTAAGCAGGGTATTAATCAGAACTTGTGTTCTCAGTGGGAATATTTATATTTATAGTTAACAGACTATTTCTAAAATGAAAAGTCTAGAATAATTATTTTAAAGTCAGCTGATTGGTAACCTTAACTCCCTTTTGCCATGTAGCCTAAAATACAGGTTCCAGGGATCAGGACATAGACCTTTTTGGGGAGCCATCATTCTACTGACCATAGCTCACATCTACCCAAATTGAATAAACATATATACCTACCTAAAAGAAATGTGTATATAGGGGATGCCTGAGTGGCTGAGTCTGTTAAGCCTCTGACTCTTGATTTTGGCTCAAGTCATGATCTCAGGGTCATGGGATTGAACCCCATGTTGGGCTCTGCAGTGTCATAGGACTGAACCCCATGTTGGGCTCTGCAGTGAGCCAGAGTCTCCTGCCCTCCTCCTGCCCCTCCACATCTGCTCACGCTCTAACATAAA